AGATATTTAATGGTATCTGCAGGTTATGGGCAGGGTTGTAGCTTTACATTCTAATGCTTTTGGAATGGCTTTAATAGCTTGAATGCTCAGGATATACCTCTTGCAAGCATATCTTCACATACTGCACTGGCTAGATACAAGTCAGTGTGAATTTTTATAATTAACACATTTAGATGTGGCAGTGGTAACCCTGATGAAACAAATACCTTGTTTGATTTTCCTTCTCTTCACTGTAAGACCAATACATTCTTTTTTCCCCTATAAAGTAGAATTACTCCACTTTTAAAGAAAAATGTGTTTCTCGGCAGTTTCCTCTGGTGTACAACCTAAATATACTGGTTTTAGTATCGTACAGACAACATCAGCAACACCAAACGTTGAAAAACATAAGTCAGGGCCTCCAGAATAATGGTGTAGAATGAAAAAATAATTTTTAATGGTTCTATGTATTAGGTACTGGGTTCTTTTCCTCTGTTCATGTTTTCTGGATTCTCAGTGCAACCAGAGACTAAAAATTTACTCTTTCAAAAGGAATTAGATTTTCACATAATCAAACGACCCCAGGAATGGGAGCTTTAAAAAAATGAATATTCTAAGTTTCAGGATAAAATCGTTAGATCTGACAATACCGGTTGCAGCTTATGCCGGCTCTGTTTCCTTAGGTTATATATAATACATAAAGCAATTGCAAGCTTCTCAAGGTCAGTTAAGAGCAAATACAAAAATGAGTAGTAACAAAGTCTGACCACTCACTGATCACCAGAAAGAGAAGGAGAACAGAGAACAGACCTTTCCTTCTCTCTTAAACCACACTTCCATACGACATCATGTAAGTGTGGTTTGTTGGGAGCCGTCTACGCTCGGAGAAAATGTTTTGGTTGTTACCAGTGGCCCGCTGACCTTAATTTGCTTGCCTTCCTGAAGAAAAGACCTTGCCGTATCCTTTCTGCTGAGTTATTTCTCTAGAGGACACCGATTTTAGGGACTCATTAAAAGAAATACCTCTTCCTAAAGAAAATCGGAGGAGTGCTTCAAAGCAGTCTCCCTGTCCAAGCTCTTCTGCGGCAGTTTTATTCTCTAGTTCTCTGGTATAATTATGTTTTTTCCTTTGGGGTAGATGTGCTGAGCAGTGACTATTTCAGTTACACCTCTTGGATCCTGATTGTATCTTATGTGGGACTGGGACTTTCAGGGGACTTTGATGGGACTTCTGCCTTGTCTCTAGTGGGATAATCTTAATTTCTTCCTTTGAGGGAAATAGTGGTAGATTTTGTCGCTTCAGCTGTCTTACCCTACATGCATGGTCTCTGGTTCGGATCTGTAGTTCTCTCAGGCTTCCTGTTAAGATCAGTGATAAACAGAGTTCCTCACCTCCAAATATGCCTTTTTTTCTATCTCTATGTACACACATGCCTCAATTACTACATTTTGGTGACACTTCCAAAATGAAGTGTCCTTACTGAAGACAGTTTGGTCTCCGTAAAGACCAGATGCAAATCTCCTAGCTAAGCATCTATTGCCATTGGAGGATGTGACATTTCAGTTGTTTTATGCCCAAATAACATAATTTGTTACTAATGAGTCCTGTTCCCTTAGCATCGTGTATGATAAATCCTTTTGTAGATCTGTTTCATGGTCAGACTTAAACTTGAGATCCCTAGAGCTATGCATTTACTGCTCTAGAGTCTTCCTGAACTTTTGGCCTCCTTCTCCTGGGGCTGTTCCCTCTGGGTTGGGGTCGGTGGCAGGTGCTTCTGTGATATATAGTTACAGAATTGTTTGCCCATCTATCTGTGTTTTTCTTTCATATCTAATGAGGAGGTTCCTAAATGACATTTGACATTTTCTGGAGTGTGTGCATGGTATCAATTATAACAACTCATTCTTTATTTTACTTTCGGCTGTATTCCTACCTTTAAGCTAACCCTCCCCTCCCTTTTCTGCTGCCCATAGAGATGGCTCCTTCCCTCCCCTCTGGTTGCCAGGGTGACTGGGCTTCCCTGATGCGGATGCTCTTGCCTTGGCTCCTTGCCATCCCTCTCCCAGAGACTGGAGTTTTCACTTTCCCTCGGATGGCGAGGACTCCTGTTTGCTATTCTCCCTTCTAAGCAGACCTGGTTTAGCAACTGCTAAAAGGACAAGTGATTTTGTGTGCCTGCAGGGCGGGATCAGCCAAGCCTCTGAGCAAAGTGGAAGTCACCTTGTATTATTTTTCCTTTTTTTTTGACTCTGATCCTTCTCCTTGAGCTGGAGTCCAGCCAGTTGTCACTCTCTTAATGTGGCTGTGATGATGAGAAAAAGGACCCTAGAGTGGTACATATGCAGCAGAGGTAAAGCCTTTTTTATTTGTATTTCAGAATGGATAAATTCAATTTCCAGTGTTAGTGATGCTGGAAAACGGATCCTTGCAGTACTTGTAAGCACATTTATGCATAGAGGTTTTGCCAAACTTTAACTCCGAAATTAATAAACCTCAGAATAGGGCATCTTTGAATTCAGGTGTGGAATTACAGGTTGTTCAGAAACTTCATTGAAGGAATTTGACTGGTTTTTGTCACTGAGCAAACAGATATCATGTGATCTTTCTGTTTAGCCCAAAGAGCCAAAATTTCAGATTCTGCATGCCTGTCCCAGGTTGCTGGTAATGTGGTCCCATCTTGGAATCACATTCAGAGGTCAGCCCGTGAGCAATTTTGAGTTACAGATCAACGGAGAGTTGCAGTTCGCCTGGGTATGACTCAGCCGCAACCAAGAAGCAGTATTTTTAGTCAATTAAGTTCTCTGAGTTATTTGTCCAGTTCTAGCTAAAATGCTCTTTTGAGATCCCAGTAAGAAAGTCTTAGGTGTTGCAGGCTTAGAATTTAGGGAATTTTCCATCCCTAGGGATGGAAAAACTACTATTTAGTAGTTCATGTGCTCTGCTTTTCCACAAGGCACGAGTATTTTGTCTCGTCTATTCCCCTGTGTTTTCTCTGGCATAATTTTAAACGGTTCAAATAATAGGACTTTTAATACTCTGCTCTGTGCTTCTGGGACACAGTGACCAAGTGCATTAGACTGTAAGCGTGCTGTAAGTGTAAATTAGGTAAGGTTTCCAAATATTTGGACAAATGTGGTCCTGTGCTCAAGTTCATCCTTCATCCTCTCCTCTGCACTTTAAACATTCCATCTTTTGAGCTTGTTTGAATCCAGTTCGCTTGTTTTTAAAGTAGTGATATATATGCAAATCTCAAAGTAGTAATGTCATCTGTGTTTTATAGGAAATCCAGGAACAGCAGCAGCACTGCAGCTACCAGATATACTTATAACCCTCAACATGCTTCCCTTTCTAACATACGGTTAATTATTTTTAAAACAGACAACATATTACATCTAGCTGAGCTCTGAAACATTATGTGCTTGTTCTTTTGCATGAAAAGTATTTATAAAAGCTTTTTCTGCAGTGGTTGGGAAATTAAGATAAAATGCATGGGGCTACTTCCATTAAGAAAGTTAGTAGGAAGCACTTGCTGGAGCAGAGTTTGTAATGTTTTCACATCTCGCTGTAAGAAGGATGTTCTATATTTAAAGCACTTCCTTGGAAGAAGCATTGGAACAGTGTTACAGTTTTTCCTGCCAAAAGTAATAGCTGTGGAAGGCTGCAAGAGCACCAGACTTATTACTGAAAGGTAGTGGTCTTCCTATGCAAATGTAAGTTAACGTTCAAGGAGTTAAATGGAACAGGGAGTGACCTTAAGTTTCAGCCTTCTGTGCAGTCCTTAGTTTTATGCAAAGACACTGAATATCATGACATATCTTCACCATGACTGTACTGCTTTGGCTTACTGCTTGAGCAATGAAATATGTACAGATTTTTGTATTGTGCCCGCCATGCTGTGCTATAAATGTAAAAATGACTTTATTCATCAATATACAGTACTCTGAGGAGTGTCTTACCTCGCAGCAGTGGTTGGGGCAGGGAGTTTATTTGACCTGGGTTTCCTCAACTCTTTTGGAAGGGCAGTTTGCAAATGAAGTGCAGGATTCATTAAAGAGATTAGTTAGGTTATTTGATGAATTTGGACATTGCTACATCTGAAATAACTTTGGATTGTTACTTTCCTCTGTTTTATTATTAGAATAACAAATCTTTAAAATGCTGAAATATTCACAACAATGTTATAGAGAAGATCCTTCATGTATGATACAGGCTTGGTTTATTTGCCCTGAATTAATGTGGATGACTTATTTGAAAAGGGTTTAAATGCAGTTAGCAGTTCAGCTAGTATTTGGCATTACTCCTACAATATGTACATATATATGTGAGCAAATACAGAGTTCTGTTGGCAAGGAATTACGATTTTTGGAGGTGCAGCTTTTAGGTATCAGTATCTGCGAAAATACTTCATCTGTCTCTCATCCCTTAATCTTTATGCAACTATTGAAATGTAGCATTATAACATTATAAAAACTAATGAATATTTCTTCCTCTTCAAATATTTGACTGTAGTATCACAAGGGAAGATAACCTGGCTATTTTAAAAGTAAAGATGTCAGAGGAAAATATTTGTTTAGCTGATGTGTCCGAACAAGAGATTGCTTGTAACTAGAGAGTAAAGCATGTTGAAGAGAAAACTCCACAATGTCCGTTTGAGAGTCTCAGTGCTAACAAGTTAACATAACTTAGACTAGCAACTGCTTCTTCAGAAGGAAAAACAGTGCTGTATTAGAGAGCTGCAATATCTATTCTGTCCAGAAGCTCTTTTCTATATTTTAGCTAACAATTAGTAAAATATTTTGTTCACATTATTCTTAATTGAATATCACTTTGAAAACGATAGAACTAATTTAAGCCATTGTTGCATTTTCTGTTATAGAGCATTTCATTACCAGCGACAGTTTTGAACCTCATCGCTATGGTTTTTCTGTATCTTTTTTATCCTTTTAATGATGTATGCCTAGCAAGACAGACACATTTCTTTTAATTCTGTAGTTAGACCAGTTAAAAAGGACTGACTTACCCTGTCTTCTTCAGCTCTTAAGTCTGGCATTGTGCTAACACAAAGGCTTATAGCTGTGGTGGCCACAAAGAGAATGGAGAGACAAGCAAAGACTTTGCCCGGGAGTCCTGACTGGGGATTTTCTACCATATCTCTGAGTCTGTTCATAAACTGTCCAAATTTGGTTTTCTCATCCAAGACACATGTAGCTTCTTTGCTCCTCCGAAGCTCCTCTTCTTTGCGTACCTCGGCCAACTCCTGCAGTTTTTGGAATAGTTTTCGAAAGCAGCAGTTCTCCAGGTTGGATTCCTCAATCCCCCAGTACCTCAGCTCCTCCTGAAAAGACAAGGCACACATGTCTCTTAAGAGCATCAGCTTCCCTGCTGCTAGAAAGCTGACAATCATCCCAAAAGCATTGGGGTTCCTGTCAAAGAAGAACTCCTGGGTGTCTTCATCGTAATCGTCACACAGCTGAATTATTTCTTCATAGCTGCTGCAAAACTTAAGTTTGCTCAGTCTGGTCAGGGGAAATTCATCTAAAGTACTCCAAGGTAGCAGGTACTTGATGCCTCCAACATTTATCATGATCTCTGTCTTTAGATCGACTGCGGAGACTTGATCAGGATGGTAAATTCTCCTGGCTCTTTGGTAATGGACCCCTTTGACAGAAGGGGTTTCAATGGAGACAGGAAAGAAGTGGCTCAAGGAATTACAAGACGTGTAGCTAATGTTACTATAGTCTTGATCACTGCCTCCGGAGAGAATAGGCATCTCTAAGAGTTCTCACTGGGACATCCGAAATGGCATCAGAGCAGGGTTATCTGTCAGCCAAAAGATAGAGGAAGGAGGAGAAAACACAGTAGAGGTTATTGCAAAAGAAAAGGTGTTTCAGGCTACTTTCCCAAATCACAAAATCAATAAGTGCCTGTTTTGTAAGTAAAAGTCACCTCTGTGCTTCTTCCCGAAATCTGCAGCCTGTGAATGCGATTTGCTGTGCAGCCTCCTTGGTTGTCTGGCAACACACAGGCACAGAGGAGAGCTAAAGCCTCATTCATAATTATCGTGAAGGGTCGGATGCCTGCAAATCCAAATGTGAACAGATCGGTCTCTTCTCCGAGCAGATCTCGGTCATCGTTAGATTGTTGTATTTTCCGGGGGTTGTCGCGTTGCTTCCTTATTTCTATAAACCCGTAAATACACGCTAACTCAACTAAGCTGCTTAATAGTTATTAGAGTGGTGAATTACCTGCCATCAGCTGGATGTGAAGTTCTTAATTGCTTTAACTTGAATGCTCAGATTGCGATTCCTCTTCCTTTCACTGCACGCCTGTTTTGCCTGCCTCTCAGGGGTATTGCAAGGATTAGCTAGTAGATGTTTGTAAAATGCTTTAAGAGGCAAAGTGCTGTATAAATGACGACTATTCTTATCAACCTAGTCTCATGTCACTGCAAATTACTGAGAAGATATAGGGAACATTTGCCCACCCTGGAGAAAACTTTGTTACACAGACAGAAAGCAAAGTATTATCAGCTCAGGGTGGGGGGGGGGGGGGAGGAGAGCAAG